CGCACCCCCCCCCGCAGTTTCCCTTCGCCAGAGGTCTGGAGCCTGCTGAAAGGAGGCAGCTCCCCAAGCCACAGGGCCGTCAAGAGGGCAACTCCGAGCAACGCTTCGAGGTCAGAGCTTCAGGCTTCGCGCAGTGACCAGGAGGGCTGCGGGATTCCTAGGAAAAGGAGCTGGTGTGGTCACCTGGGCGTGGGCCCTGGGATGTTGTGGGAAGCAGCAAAAACACTGGTGCACATGTGAGAAAAATCACGGGGGCTTTCAATACGGGAAGTTAAGGCACACAAAATGGAAAGGGGGGGAGGGAATGCAGGGACAAGCAAGAGTTGCAGGTGTCCATCTACTGCCACCCCAGCCCCCCCCGCTGCCCTGCATTCTCTCATCACTAGAGCAGCGTAGTTAATGCGGGAAACGTTTCCATCCATCTTCATTTGCGTGTCCAGGGGGTTTTCCCAGGCTTTATCTTGCTCTGTGCATGCTGTGTCGCTGGCATGTGGCCACAGCAGCAGCCCTGTGTGCAGACATCAGCCTCCCCCTGGACTCCCCCAGTCCATCGAGCCAGGTGAGGGTTGGCTACACCCTCCTGCTCCAGTCCCCAAGGTGGCAGTGGGACAGGGATGCTCAGCCCCCACCTGCTTGCTGGGGGACAAGAAAGCACTTGCTGGGCACATATTCTTTCCAGTAGGCTGAACCCACTCCCAGTGCTGCCCTTTCTCCCTCTCCAGTGCACAACTCAGTGGGTCCCCCTAGGAATCATAGAACAGTCATGGTTGGGAAGGACCTCTGAGATCACCAAGTCCAACCATAAAAACAAAACCCAACCCCCCCGCCCCAAAACCACAACACACAAAAAAACCCCCTTCAACCTACAATCTCAGCCACTAGAGCATGCCCTGAAGTTCCTCATCTACATGTTTCTTGAATGCATCCAAGGATGGTGAATCCATCACCTCCCTGGGCTGGCTGTTCCAGTGTCAGACCACTCTTTCAGTAGATAAATTCTTCCCAATATCCAATCTAAACCTCCCTGCTACACTTTCAAGACATTTCCTCTGGTCTGGTCATTATTCACTTGGGAGAAGAGGCCAACACCCACCTCCCTACAACCTCCCTTCAGGTAGTTGTTAACGGGCAATGAGGTCTCCCCTCAGCCATCTCTTCTCCAAACTAAACATCCCAGTTTCCTAAGTACCACAGCTACATGGCTTTTAAACACATCCAGGCATGGTGTCTGCACCGCTTCCCTGGGCAGCCTGTTCCAGTGCCGGACAACCCTTTCAGTGAAGAAATTTTTTCCCAATATCCAGTCTAATCCTTCCCTGGCACAATTCAAGATCATTTCCTCTCACCCTGTTGTTTATGATTTGCAAGAAGAGACTGATGCCCACCTCGTGGCAACCTCCTCTCAGGTAGTATCACTAGGACAGTGACACTAGGACCTAGGGGTGACAGAGATCCAGGGATGACCAACCAATCTCCTCTTAATTGTGACTTAATGCAGCAAAACCTCTTTCCCCACATTTACAGAGGTTTGTGCTTCTTGGAGGCTGAATCTCACTGTACAAATGGGCTGGGTCTTGCCAGGAGCAGTAGATGCTGCCAGCCCCATGTGCCAGGGAGAGCAACTGGCATGACATGCCATCCTCTCACCACACACCAGCCTTCCCTGAAAAACAGCTGGCTCGGAACTGGTGGATTTTGGATGGGAGCTGAATCATCTGCTGAGATGTGTCCTTTCATCATCTGTGTCCAACTTCTCATCTCCTGGCTTTGCTACCATTTGTTCAGGAGGCATTACAGACACATGCACAAGGCAGCAGACATGATTCCCAGCCCAGCACATGCAGCCTCGGGTGAGCCAGGGTGCTGCTCCCTGGCCTGCTGGAGCTTGCAGCACTGTGGTTCGTTATTTGAACAGTTCTGCCCAGAGGTAAAAGCATCAATAATCACTCTTCAGTGGAGGTCTGGAATGTGCTGTGAAAGGTTATGTTCCACCAGCAGCTGGAGCCATCGGTGCTGGGAGATGTCCCCATGAATCAACATCGGTGCTCTCTTTGGAGAGCTCGTCCCTCCTGGGTGGTCACTGAGCCCGGGGAGGTGACAGCCCCCAGCCCACACCTTGATGCACCCCAGGGCATTGCCTCTTGTTTGGAGAAGGCAAGTCTCTCTGTAGCCAGATATATGAAGCTTCCCCATTGACCAGCAGAATTTGGGATGAGCTCAGCAGATGTTGAGCTCCTCCGGCTCCCCTCTTAGCTCCAGCTGGAGCCTGGTTCTGGGGTCTCTGTTCAGTATAAGCAGCAGGAGAATCCCCTCGGCTTGGGGCTGTGCTGGATACCCTGCCTATGGATAACCTGCCCCTGGGGCTGGCACAGGGCTGGGGGATGCAGCTCCCACAGGACCAATGCTCTGCACCAGGACACTGCTGCAGTATTTGGAAGCCTGAGCGCTCACAGAGGTAATGCTGGGCAAAGCTGCATTTCCCCTGGCACCTTAAATACCTTTAAGGCCTGGGGAGAAATAAGTCTCTTCTGCCTCTAGCATGAAATGGCTTTCAAAATGGATTTGCAGGCTCCAGACTCATCTCCCTCGTGTGTCAGGTCTGAGCTCTTCAGTGGAGGCAGAGAGGAAGAGCTGCTCATCTAGTAATAAATTGCAGACACATGTTCCCCTGAGCAGTTGTTTGGAAAGTGTCCCACACGACTGGTGCCAAATTCGCTGGCCAGAGAAGCTCAATGGTATTAGCATGTTCCAGTTAATTATGGTAATCTAGCCAGAGGTAGTAGTATGTGGTTTGTTTGTTTCCCAATTTCCAGTAATAGTAAACTCATAACTGCCAACCCTGACTTGTATTTCTGCCTTGCATTGACTTGTTATGTGCTTTCAGTTTTATGTATGACCTTTCTGTCCCATTTTCTTACTTGATGAAAGCTATGCTACTAGCAGAAACAGGAAGATTAATGTTACCATTTTCTAAGGAAAAAAATACTTATATGCCAGTTGCGTATGCTTTATGATTCTTTGATTAATTTGAACGTTTTAAAGATTAATTGGAACAGGTTACAAAATATTAGAAGAAATTTCCATGCTTGTCTAAGACTAATACGAGGGAAAATTTCCCAGTTTAGTTCTTCTAGCATGCATTATATAAAATAAATCTGTATTGTCTCACAGCATATGTGCACCTAAGTATGGACATACATGCATTTGCACTTGTGTATGATAACAGGGCTTATGTTTGTATAATGTTTTTAATCTGTATATGCTTCAAAGTGCAATGTGCATCAGTTGCACAAGACGTGCCTTGTTTTGATGTGAAACTCTATATTTACGTATGAAAATGTGAGGGCTGGCTGTTCCAACTAGTTAACTAGAAGTTTTAGATATTTTCCAAGTATCTTCCTGGTGACTCTTTCCAAATAGGGCCAAGTTCAGAGCCTCAGGATGCACTAGGGTGTCTCTTCTGGTTTTGTTTAGCAGTTGTTTTCTGTTTAGAAATTAAAAAAAAAAAAAAAAAAAGTTAATAAGTCACTCTTAGTTCTTGCTGTATTTACTGGAAGGAAGGGGCGTTTCTAGAACATGTCATGCTAAATTAAATGTGTGAATTAAGTGGATAAATCACTCCTTGAAAGTTCCTATTTCTCAGAATTGACTGTTACAGCAATTGTAAAGGAGGACCTGCTGAGGTGCAGGTGTGTACTTCTTTTGAGGTGAGTCTTGCCTCCAGTGCTGTCCTCTGAAGAACTTCCACTTGTTTATTTTCACTTTTCCTTTCAAGTAATCTCAGGGAAATGAGTAGAATCATTCCTCCCCCTATCCCCATGCTTATTACTGTTAGGATGCAAGTATTACAAGGTGAATATAGTCATTTAAGTGTATTGCAGTAGGAAGATAATTGCAGAGCACTCATGGGAGCATAATAAGCAAACATTAGCAAGGAAATAAACAGCAACATAAAAACGTGATGTGTAAGTAGCCTCTGAGACAACCTGAAAGTCTGCAAGCTATTCTTTGGTGGCTTTCAAACCATTACTAGATCAAGCCTGACTGCCATGGTAATGTCAAAATCACCTACACTTGTTTGTTTTGACTTTCAGATAAACATACACAGTTATTTCGTGGTTCCAGACTACAATTATGCCAGGAAGTTGTTTCTGCAGCTGCTTGTGAGTGCAGTCTGAAGGCCTGCAGCGTGCCGGCGAGCGTCAGCCAGGACACCAGGGCATTCCCTATCCAGGAAAGTGACTGGCTTTCTTGAGGGAGAAACAAAGAAGATTTCTTGCACAGTTGGAAGGAAAAGCAATACAGTCTTGACACCCGGTTATCTTTTAAGAAGCATTTGTCACAATACCTCTTGACTGTGTGGATCTTGTAACTCTGACACAAACGTGCCTTTGGACTTGTGCAAATAAATCATTGGAAGAACTGATTGAACAAGGTGACTGTTGAAGAATCATGTCCAAGCACTTAGAGATCATAAATCTGTCATTTTTGTTGGATCATGAAAGGGAAACAATATTGGGAGTACTGAAGAGAGATGAGTATCTGAAAAAAGTTGAAGATAAAAGGATAAGGTAACTTTTCATTATTGTTGTTAGAAATATTGTTTGCAATATAGAAAGTTTTTGGTACACAGTGATTTTCTAGATGCCTCAGGAAAGGGATGAGTGTTGGGAGGCAGCACACTTAATTGTAAGTCAAAGTGTGTAAAAAAAATTGCTTGCTAGTATGGCCCTCTGTGAACAAAATATTGTGTCCATTGTTTCAAGACAAGAGAGTAAGAAAGATAAAAAATACAAAAATACACAGCAGTGGTTTTTAAATTTCAGATTCTTTGGATTTTGCCAGGTTTGGTGGAATTTCTCCTCTGTGAATGGAAGGCTTTAGTAAGGCTCTTGAACTTTCTTCCTCTGAGAGGAGCTGTATGCTTTGTGCCTTCAGAGCTGAGTGTGGGAGGGGATGTTTGGGAGGTGTCACAGGGAGTGAAAGTAGTTGTCTGCTTCTGTACAGGAGTCCATACCTGCTTCTGTACAGGAGTCCATACAACATGGGCCAAATGCAAGATAGTGACCTTTTTCTTTCTGAGGCTGTACTCACAGATTAGGGAGGAGGAGGGGCACTTCATTTTTCAAATTACTTAGATTTACAAATAAATAGATAAGTAAATGGGTAACTATGGATCTCAAAAGCTGGTGATAGGGTAAGTAGAGACTCAGGGTACTAAATGAGTCCATGCATTCTTTTTTGAGGAAAAAAAGGTCAAAATCCAAGTCCAGAGAACAGTATGTGAAAGCAGGTTGGGAGTCAGTTATTTTAGATTACTCAAATTACTCTGTGCCTGACAAGGTCATGGAGTAGATCCTCCTGGAAAGTCTGCTAAGGCACATGGAAAATGAAGAGTTGACTGATGACAGCCAACATGGCATCACTAAGGGCAAGTCATGCCTGACCAATCTGGTGGCCTTCTACAACAAGGCTACAGAGATGGTGGATGATGGCAGAGCTACTGAAGTCACCTACCTGAATGTGTGCAAGGTGTTTGACACTGTCCCACATGACATCCTGGTCTCTGAACTGACAAGGCATGGATTTGACAGAGGGACCACTTGGTGGGTAAGAGATTGGCCGGATGGCTGCACCCAGAGAGTTGTGGTCAATGGCTCAGTGTCCTAATGGAGGCAGCTGGCAAGTGGTGTCAGTATTGGGACCAGTGATGTTCAACATCTTTGTTGGAGACATGGACAGTGGGATTGAGTGTCTCCTCAGCAAGTTTGCTGATGATACCAAGCTGTGTGGTGAGGCTGATACCCAAGAGGGAAGGGATGCCATCCAGAGGGACCTTGACAGGCTGGAGAGTTGGGCCAGTGCCACCCTTGTCAAGTTCAACAAGGCCAAGTGCAGGGTCCTGCACCTGGGTCAGCACAACCCCAGGCACAAATACAGGCTGGGGGGAGAATGGCTGGAGAGCAGTTCTGAGGAGAAGGACTTGGGGTGGTAGTTGATGAGAAGCTCAACATGAGCCAGCAGTGTGTGCTAGAACCAAGAGAGCAACTGCATCCTGGGCTGCATCAAAAGAAGTGTGGCCAGCAGGGCCAGGGAGGTGATTCTGCCCCTCTACTCTGCTCTGGTGAGACTTCACCTGGAGCACTGTGTACAGTTCTGGTGCCCTCAGCATAAGAAGGATATAGACCTGTTGGAAAGGGTCCAGAGAAGGGCCACCAAGATGATCAAAGGCCTGGAGCACCTCTGCTATGAAGACAGGCTGAGAGAGTTGTGGCTGTTCAGCCTAGAGAAGAGAAGGCTCCAGGGAGACCTTATAGCACTTTCCAGTGCTTGAAGGGGCTACAGGAAAGCTGGGGAGGGGCTTTTCATCAGAGAAGATAGTGATAGGACAAGGGGTAATGGTTTTAAACTGACAGAGGGGAGATTTAGGTTCGATATTAGGAAGAAATTATTCACTATAAGGGTGGTGAGGAACTGGAACGGGTTGCCTGGGGGGGTTGTTGATGCCCCATCCCTGGAGGTTTTTAAGGCCAGGTTGGACGAGGTTCTGTATAACCTGATCTAGTGGTGGGATTCCCTGCTCATGGCAGGGGGATTAGAACTTTATCATCTTCAAGGTCCCTTCCAACCTTAATGATTCTATGATTCTATGAAATTCAGTTAATTCAGATCAGTATCAATTTTGCAAAGGTTCCTGTGCTTTTCCAGTATGCTGTTGCTGTTTTCTTTTCCATCTCGCCTTTTAAACTCTTACAGAGTGCTGATAAACATCTGTCCTTTCTAAACTCCTACAGATTGCTGATTCTGAGAAACAGGCTTAGAGTGGATGCATGCAGCACTTGGTGTTGGCAAGGCTGCTGTGTGTAATGGATGAGAAAAGGAAGATTTCCAGCCTTTGTTGGTTTCTGTCCATGCGTTCCAAGGCCAGGCTGCATTGTTCTTCCCTTTGATTTGTTAAAAAGCATTTTAGACATTGTGCAGAGATGTATGTTCAGCACCTGCTGAGACTTCTTTTGTATAAAATTATTATTTGGAAATCCATGTAGACTTAGCCATCAGTTTGAGAAGTCTTGCTACCTTGAGAGAACCAAATCTAAGTGCAGTCCCCCTGCTGGTGTGCAGCCCCTTTAAGTGGGGAAACACAGTGACTCATCTAAATGGAGTGGGCTAAAACTGGTTGATGCTTCTGCTTCAAGACTGGAAGAAAAGGTGTTTCTTTATTCTGGTGGGGGCAAGTAAATAATTTAATATCCTTCAGGATTTGTCAGATGAAGAAGAAAATAGAACAAAAAAAACTACAGATGGAGCACTGTTTGTTCCAGACATTGTGCTCTATTTTGTAGTAGCATTTCTAAGTATTTCAGTTTTCTAAGGTAATGGCCTTGGAAATGTGTGTGCCAGAAGCCATCGATCGAAGGCAGCAGTATGAAGTGCATTAGTGTATCAGATCACTAGCTTCCCAAACCCAGAGAATGCCACCTTTTCTACTCCTGTCTCTTCCCAATATCAAGTGGAAAGTTGAGTTTATTTAGGTCTTGGGGGGTTTTTGTTTGCTCAGATTGGTGTTTTTTGCTGTTTTATTTGGTGGTGTTTTGTTGTTTTTTGGTTGTTTTTTGTCTTTTTTAATACAATGTCTTAAACCCCCTAATTTTCTGGCAGTGTTTTGGCACTACTGGAAGTCACTCTGCCAAAACTACTGATTTGGGCAACCCAAGGCATCTCTGGAGGATGCAGCTCCGTACGGCGACAGGTGGCATTGTCTTACATATATTTTGGTGAAATGAAAAGAGCACCCTAAGAAAAGGCTGAAAATGAAGTTAATCTGAAATATAATGCTAATTAGGATAACTAATGAGGCAATGTGTTGCTTGTGCTTACTTCTGTCATTTGTATATGAACCAATAGGTTTCAGATTCAGAGTCTGTTTGGAGAATTGTCAATAGACCATACTGTGCTTGATAGTGGTGGAAAGTAGTCTATAAAAGACTATTCCAAAGAATTGGGTGGGTAACTACTTCATAGAAGACTGAAGTCTTAATACTTTTTCTTTTTGAATACAGCTTGGCAAGGATATCTTTAATTATGGTTTGTAACTATACTTCAGAGGAACATTTGTTGTCTTTGGAATTCCATTTGGTGCAATCTGTTATATGTTTTATTGAAGTGCTTTGCAGAAGAACAAGTCCCTTTGTATTTATTTTCAAGACATTTTTCATTCCTTCAAGATGCTTACTTGTACATTGTACTGAAGAATTTTTATTAGTCTATTCCACTCTTTCTTAATCTATTGTGAGAATTGTTTTTTCTGTTCCTATTAATCTTCAAAAGCAGTCGTAGCTTGAAAGGGTCTTTTTGTTCAACATGAAAGCAATAGTAAATGTAGGAGTTATTTGTGTTCTGCAGTACAGGTGTCCTTGTATTTTTATTTGATGTACTGATATTTTACCTACATGTGAGAGAAATGCAGAAGGCAGCAAGTACTCTTTCTCTGGTCTAGTTTTGACAATACAAGTAAGCAACATTACATAGCATCAATTACATAGAGCTAAAAAAGCTAAGAATCGTAGCATGTTTTGAGTTCGCAGGCACCTTAAAGACCATCTAGTTCCAACCTCCCTGCATGGGCAGGGACACCTCCCACTAGACCAGGTTGCTCAAAGCCCCATCCCACCTGGCCTGAAAAGTTCTAGGGATGGGGAATCCAAGACTTCCCTGGGCAATATGTTCTAATGTTTCGACACCCTCACAGTGAAGAATTTCCTCCAAGTATCTAACCTAAATCTACCCTCTTCTGGTTAAAAGCCATTACCCTTTGTCCTATCACTACATGCCGTTGTACAAAGTCCATCCTCAGGTTTCTTGTAGATCCCTTCAGGTACTGGAAGAGCACTATAAGGTCTCCCAAGAGCCTTCTCTTCTCATGGCTAAACCTGACCATACCGAGGGTGAAAAAGTAGGGTGTCTTTTAATGTACAAATTGCTGGGAGAAACTTACGTCTGGTAATGTCAGTCAAGACATTGTGAACTGACTGTTTTGGACTGAAACGTATCTTTTTCCTTGTTTTCACATCCTTTTACTATTTTTAAGTAGATTTGTTCTTCTAATACCCTTTTTATGAAAACCTGTATCACACTGAATGTGTAGTGCCACAAGTCATTGCATGAATACTAAATTGAAAAAACGTATTTGCTAAAAGGGGAGGGTACCACATACTAGGTGCATTCCATCTCTTGTTGGCTTGTTTATGTTTCAACATCAGCCCCTCTGCCTCCTCTCTGAGCTATGGTTTTACACAAGGAACTGGGTCTGCTGGTGATAGTATTTTGCATTTGGAGCTAGGTCTTCATCTCAATGTTTTTCTGCTACCACAGAGCAAACACAAATGCCATGCTTATTGCTAATGCACATTGCTTTCTTACCTTGACATTTTTCCTAGACAGCATTTAAAATACAAAGGGTCTTTTCATTCTGTATGAAGCAAAGCTGTAAATAAAATCATACTTTTAGAAGAGGAGATACCAGCATAATAAATTTGTTAACTGAGAAAAGAAAGAAGGAACATGCCAATTT